GAGCCTGGCGTCGCATTCTGATTCAGAGGGAAAGAAGAAGGTACAACTGGCCAGGCGCAGTGGCTCACACCTGTAATCCCCATATTTTGGGAAACTGAGGCAAGAGGATTGCCTGAGACCATGAGTTTGAGACCAGCCTGGGCAAATTGGTGAGACCTCTTCTCTACAATAAATTAAAAAATTAGCCAGGTGTGGTGGCGTGTGCCTGTAGTTCCAGCTATTTGGACGGCTGAGACAGAAGGATAACCTGAACCCAGCAGGTTGAGGCTGCAATGGCTGTGAGCATGCTACTGCCCTCTAGCCTGGGTAGCAGAGTGGGCAGAGGGAGGCTTCAACTAAAAAAAAATAAAGAAGGTACAGCTAAACTTGGGGGGGGGTGAGAAATACTTAAGGAGCCCACAAATGGAGAAACAAACGAGAGAATAATTCCTCACGACGACCCTGTTGCCTTCCCTGTTGCTGCCCTTGGTCAGCACTTCCTGGCCTCCAGGAGTCCAAAACTCATTCTTGATGGGACAAGGCACTCCTAGTCCCACCCCCAGTGATTCAGTAGCTCAGCGTCAGGGCTAAAGCCAGGGACAGCTGGGGAGACAACTGGCGGTAGATGCCTTAACTACCAACTGTGCCCTCAGCTTGCCTCCCCCTCCCCTTTGCCTCCTCCTGGCCTCCCCTCTCCCCAGCCCCCCACCACATCTAGCAGCTGCAGCAGCCAAGACCAAGCAGTGCTCAGAGGCCCAGAAGCTAAGACAGGGTTCATCCCATTGTCATCTCCATGGGCTCCCAGCATACTGACGGTGACACTGGTGGGCTCTAATATTCCTGGGAGCTTGGGGTCTCTTATCCCTTAATTTGTGGCAAGGTGGTCCATCAGCAAAGTGACCGGCAGTGTGAGGTGGTGGAATCAGTCCTGGCCTTCGGCGTCCTTAGTTCTAGGCTTGGCTCTACAACTAAATTGCTCTGTGACCTTGAGCAAATTACCTCGCTCTCTGGATTTCCCTAACTATAGAAGAAAGGGGTTAGAGCAGAAAGTCTCCAGAGATCCCAAGGTTCCAAAGTAGCACAGTGACCTACAGAGTGAGCAAACAGTCCTCCAAAACACCAGGCTATTCATAGTAAAATCACACATAATTAATATGAATATGGCTGCTAATAGCCAATGCTACCCTCAGTGGAAGTATTTCCCACAAGCTATGGAGTTAAACATACTAACACGCTTCTCTATTTCCCAAGGAAAGTTTGTTAGAAATGGTGGATTATGATGACATTACCCTCTTTGGCGTGTGCTTTGTTTTCATTGCTACCAGGAAAGAACAGCTCGGTCCTCAATGCCTCTCCCTTCAGGACAGTGCGAAAGGCTGTGTCATAGTAGGAGTGACTCCCATTGGCCTGTTTGGGTAGGAGGAAGGCCCTGGGAACGGCGGGACTGTTACCTCAGAGCTGGCTGGAGTATATCGCTTGTGCCTGGAGCCGAGGGAGGCGCACGGTGACCTTGAGCGGCCCACTTCCCACTGTCAGGCACCCATGCTGACTCCTCCTAACCTGAGGCTGGGCTGTGAGGAAGTCTTGGCCCTTACCAATCCCTTAAGGAAAGGGACAGAGTTTGGGAAGGGGAGACCTCCTCCCACCCCAGGTTGTCAGAGAGAAAGCCAAAATCCTGTCTGCTGAAGCCAGGAAGAATTCTGGCTGGGATCCCAGGCCCGGCAGGGGCGCTGAGTCATGGTAGAGGGCCCAGTGGAGAGTGGACAGGAGACCCTAAACTTGTCACATCAGGGAAGAAGAGGCTGAGGGTGGCCTTTTCTTGAGAACAACATTCAAGTTGTGGCAAGGAGGACAATGGTCTGAATTTGGTGGGGACAAATGGAAAGGAGACAGGACACATAAGTCCCTTGAGGGCTGGCTCAGGAGAGCGAGAGACTCTTCATGTAAGGGGTCCAGCTTCTGGGCAGCTGAGAGGAGGCTCTTTGGGGTGGCCAGTGCTCTCCCTTCTTCCAGAAGCCCTGACGCTGCCACCCTCTGCCGGTTGGGAGACAGCCCTACATCTTCTGAGGCCAGAGCTGGAATGCAGTGGAGCTGGCACTCCTAGGACCTCTGCTTCCTTTCCTGACCTTGGGTGTGGCTCCCACTCTGTCTCAATGTTGCAGGGTTAATAACTAAGCACCACCACATGGAGGGCTGAGGGCCCGCTGAGCTAGCTTCCAGTGGGGAATCTCCTGCAGGTTTTTCCCTTTACTGGTGGCCTCCCTCCTTTCTCCCTGCCCCAGGACATCTACCTTCTTAGGCCATTCCTCCCCATCACATCCCTACTTCTTTCTATCTGTCCCCAGGCCCCACCCCTGCAGCAGCACAGGAATGACTTCTGGAGAGATAGGCCCGGAAGAAGGAAAGTGGAGTTTGGCAGGGAACCTTGCAGGGGGCAGCTGGTGAGGAAGCCAGTTGCCTATTGTCCAGGACCCCAGTGCCCTGGCCTCTGGCCCCAGGCTTCTTCTGCCTCTGTACAATGCCACGTTGATACACCCAGCAGCTGTGACTCAGGCCTGGCCCCCTGCCAGGCCCAGTGCTTCGGCTGGAGGGCTGGAGTTGTGTTTGAACATGTCAACAGGCCTATCTCCCTCTCAGCACCAGTTCCCCCACCCCAGCCCCTCCCTCTGCCTGAATTAAGGCTCAGCTTTGTCTTAGGGGAGGACAGCTGGGAGCCTGGCAGCTCTGGAAGGAGTTCTGAGGGGCCTCACTCCGGGCATGTTTGGCTGTTGGGTGTCACGCCCGAGAGAGGCCTGCAGAAGCAGAGCCATGCCTGCTGTGGGTGTCTGTGCCTGCTGTGATACCCATGTCTGCAGAGGGCACATGTCCTGCATGGGGGGGCAGGGGGAGGTCCAAGTGGTCCATACTAGGCCGCCTACCATGGGCTTCCTAGGTATATGACATTCAGAACTAGCCAGGCTCGGTGGCTCAGCCTGTAATCCCGTGCCATTGGGAAGCTGAGGTGAGTGGATTGCCTGAGCCCACGGGTTTGAGACCCGCCCGGGCAACTTGGGCAACCTCATCTCTACAATAAATCAAAAAGTAAGCCGGGCGTGGTAATGCACGCCTGTAGTTCCAGCTACTTGGAAGACTGAGGCGGAAGGATCGCCGGAGCCCAGCAGGTCGAGGCTGCGGTGGCTGGGAGCGGCCACTGCACTCCAGTCTGGGCGACAGAGTAAGACTCCAACTCAAAAAAAAAAAAAAAAAAAAAAGACATTTAGAACTAGCCGGGCTCGGTGGCTCAGCCTGTAATCTCATGCTTTGGGAGGCTGAGGTGAGTGGATTGCCTGAGCCCGCGGGTTCGAGACCTGTAGATTCTGGTTAATGAGAACTCCTAGAACCGGATTGCCTTTTCGTTCTCAGCAAAATGCCCTGATTTTCCCTGTCAATGAGGATTCCAAACTCTGTATACAAAAAGACAGATGCCCAGAAGTTTCCTAGGGATGTGGAATCCATGATTCTGCGTTACCTTTAAAAATACGTACTAAACATTTTGCAATTGCAAAACCCTTGTCCCCTCTCAAACTAAAAAGATAAACAGAAGTTGAAGCTTTACAGGGTTCAACTTAAGACCAGAGTTACTTCCAAATATGGCAAGAAGATTCGTTTTGTCCTGGAATATGGTCTTAGTTGTTCCGAGGAACCTAACGAACTTGGAGTGTCCGATACCCATTTACAACTTTCAAGATAACCAGAATGTTGCTGGAGTCCTGAAATGACCAATTCGTAATATCCGCATGCTACATTGCTTCAAAACATTTGGGGAGCTCGAAGCCCTGTTTCTTCTTTGTCCCGTAACAGTCACCCTGGGAATTTTTGGGATTGAGGACTCGTACAGCAAAGATTCTTTATTCTTCCTTAGTTAGAGGCCATGTAGTGTCCTGTATTGAGGA